ATACTATTAATACATATTTCCACACTGGAAAAGTCCTGTGAACATACAACATAAATGACACCTGATTTCAGGTTGTGAGGTCTACCTATACCATTTCTAATATCCACAATTGCATGATGCTTAGCACATTTCAGAATTGAACCATATAGCCCATCATCCTTCATCTTCCTTTGATGATTTTCCAGATCTTCACCATCTCGAACTAGCTCTATCATCCAATCATGTTTATCATCAATGTAGAAGTCCACCCAACCCTCTGAAGCAAAAACAGCACCAACATCTGGAGAGATATGTACATTTTTTGGAAGCAGTTGTCTTGCTGCATGGTAAAACTCCATTTGCCATGCTCTCTCCAGCAGTTGACCATCATTACCCACACAAAGGGTTTTCTTGAAAGTCTCTGGGCTCATTAATTCAAACACCTTCTTGATAAAATCTTCAAAAGAATTTGGTAAAGTGTGTACATGGGTTCTAGATCCAAGACGTTCCTGAAGATAAGCTACACGGACTAGTGGTGATGTGAAGTCAAGTTTCCTGTTTCTCAAATAATATTCTTGGCGAAAGTCTGAAAGGACATTTGTTTTGATCAGACAGTCTGCAACTGCACTGCGAGTGTCAATACCACCAGGTTGGAACAAGACTTTGTCAATAAGTTGTTGTTCTTCTTCAGATGTCACTATGACTTCTTGACATGCACGTGTTCGCTACAATAATAATGGAGTTAAGATCTCTAAAATCACAAACTATTAATTTTCAATCATTGCTCACCTTAACACCTTGATAGAAATCATCTGTTTGAAAAAATTTGAATATTTTCTCAAATGTCAATGGCACCACACCCTGCTTTAGCTGCTGTTGAAATTGTAAAACAATATCATTCAGGACAAAAGAGACAAGCCCAGGATGGCACTTGGTTGCTTCTTTCACATAGTTGGCAAGTCGAGGGACATCCCTTTCAGGAAGCAGTTTCAGATTGGAGTGACAAAAAACATCAAAGAAATCTGCATACTCTTGTTCAGAATACCGAACATCTTCAAAATTCCAAGTATTAATTTCATCTAAGTCAAAAGGAGATATAGTTTTAAGATAGCCTGGTCCACTATATGCTCCCCGATATCCATATGATGCAAAAGCAACAATATGGAGACCACCACCCTGTAGAACTCTCTTGACAGTGTCCCAAAACTTGTCACCACCAAATAGACAGGCTGATACACCTTCTGGTTTGTATAACCCCTGAATTTCATCTATGATCAGTATTGTTTGTACTTTGTCACACTCACGGACAAAGGTATCCCATGACAAGCCTCCCATATAATCCTTGAATTGCTGTGCAAAATCCCAGTCTGATCCCTCCTTCCTCAACCATACAAGTGACATCCGAAATATACGCAGTGCATTATGTGTATTGAGTAAATAGTTCTCATAGAGTTGTGCAAGTGATGTCTTTCCAGACATTGGGGGTGAGCGCACAAGCAAAAATCTTGCATTCTGAAGGTGATTGTGTAACTTTGTTACAGTTGCCAACCTCTTGCAAGTCAAGTTACTATTCACATCAACACCTTCAAAGTTTGTAAATGCTTCCTCTCGATAAGTTGTGCCACCAATTCCTCCTATGAGAGATAGTTTAGATGGAATGATTTACACATCTTTTGGAGCAATGATATGAAAAAGCATTTACCTAATCTTGGGGTATAACCAAACTGTTCCCTTAACCTCTGTATGCAGCCTGGATCAGAGAGAGACACTGGGCCTAATGCAGGAATAATATAACAAGAGTAAGTAAATAACTAAGTTTAGAGAATAGAAAATTTGAAACTTACCTTATTAAGTAAAATAGATAGGAGGCAATAGTTGGTTTTTTTTTTAAAAAAAAAAACCAATAAGTCATTGATAAAGCAAAAAATAAATTAAAAAGCAAATGTTGTCAAAATCAAAAAAAGGATTAAAAATGGAACAATGATAGAAAAAATTTTATAGTGATCAAAAAAACAGAGAATAAATGTTACATTACCTCCAACTACTCCAACTACTTCATCATGCAAACAAAACAATAAATTAAAAGAAATAAATGATATATGTTAACTTCTTGTCAAAATGACTTTCCTTATATTGAGTATCAAACATTCTCTCATATGATGTTTCACTTACCAGATTCTTTTATATATATATATATATATAAATAAAAAGAGAAAATAAATGAATGCATACATGATTAATAGTAATGTATAAGATATGTGAAACTAAAGAAGAAAAAAAATCAATACTTTTTAAAAGTCCCATTTCTTCTATTTTCATGATCACCAACGCAGGAATGCCTTTTTCTTCTAAAGATTTTATGTCAAACACCTTACAATCCTTTAATCTGCGAATCCAATGTTGATTAAATATTTTAAGTACTTTATCTGCTTCTTCTTGAGTAGCATTGCCGTTACTTATAAAAGAACCCAAGAAAGTTTCGATTTTTGTATTTTCATCCATGGTTATTATTATAAACTAGCAATTGCATCTGTGGGCGACTAACGTCACCCAATTATTATTATTATATACCATATTAATGTTAAGTTATCAAATTAGGTGATGTAACATAATGCCGATCAATAGCAAACTTTTTTTAAAAAAAAGAATATATGTAAAAACTATATAAATAAAAATTGCATCAGAGCCTTCAAATAAAGAGATACAGACATGAAACTAAG